CAACCCATACCGAGTGCCGTATAGAAATTGGTTTCTAGAAGCCGTGGCTCGGCGAAACGCAGAGCGAGATGCAGAGCGAGATGCATTACGGCGCGGTTTGAGATCGAACCCACCTGATCGATAGGAAAGGCCAGAAATATGGGCAACAACAGAGCGGCTCAAGGTGGAAGGATTGAGGTGCAGGGGAATTGAAGGTACCGGCTAAGGTGTGTCACTTTGGTTGGATATCTCGGCGCCGGACTACCTAGGTAGACGGACTATAGGGAATCTGGTCGTCTTATTTGACGGAGGAAGGAATGTGTATAACACATGACGGTCTTTTTACTAGTTCTCATGATAGAGATAATGGTTAATCGATTCCAATCTAAACTAGAAAAGAAGTGAAGGGTGAACCCAGTCCTCCCTGCGAAAAGGGTTCGCGTTACATATACGACAGTGAAGTCAAAAGCATGCCCCGCAGGTCGTGACTCCGCTGAGACACAAGATTGAGTCGAATTTTGACTGCACTGAACGAAGTGATGAGCCAGGTGCAATCACAAGTGACTTCGAGATGTGATTCCCTTCGCCATTTATTGAGGGGAGGCCTCAGGTATCGTTTTTGTCGTTTGTATTTCGGTAATCAAATGTGACTTAAGAGCTTGTGACTTTGAGGTGTAGTTGCCTCCGCCATCAATAGATGGGCGGCCTCACTTCCATGGTTATTGTTAGTATCGTTTGTATCGCGACAATCACATATGGGCATGATATGTGAATCTTCATTGGCATAATAGACTTCGCTGGCTGCCTCTATTAATATACAATACAACGCATACAACACAACACTCAAGACTATCAACAACAACGAATATCCATCATCTATCTTCCTCGGTTGTCAGCAGGTCTACAACCGCAACCCCTATTAATAGTCTACTTCGATCTCGTAAGTGATCCTCCACTAACAATAGACTGCCCAGCTAACTAAGCCATGGTATCACAGGACAGTACATTCGCGCCCAAAGCTAACAACACCCAATCACGACCACCAAATCCTATCTCGACCGCACGAAAAGCCAACATACACCATGCCTCACTCCGAACACTACCGATGCGGTCTGTGCGATTACCCCAACTACAAGGGCAACACCAAGAAATGCCAGAACGCTTACTTCGATTGTCCCAAGATGAAGGGAGAATAGATCTGCTCTAACCCAGACTGCCGCGCAATCAATTTATGTGAGCGTAAGCATGGTGTGTACGTTTGCCCTGTTTGCGGAGTCCCCCGAGACGCGAACCCGCCGTATGAACCGCCGGTTAGAAGTTGGAGTTCGCAGGAGAGAAGACGTGGTACGGAGTATGAGACTTTAACCTAGGTCTGCAGGGTTACATAGATTGGGGTTGGCGGGATTCAGAGACTGTTTAGAGATATTTATTTCATTATAGCACTTGTTCAGTGGGTTAGATAGGCTTCGGATAACCTGTACGTATTAGTTGGGTAAAGTAGCATGTTCAATACAAGATAGGGTTTCTTTTAACTTCTCTGATGACTCCAAAGCTAGTACATGCGTAAATGTCTAGTTTTTAGGCTACTTCGCAGCAGGATTGATGACAAAAAGTTGCATCAAAACGACAAAAGTGGAGCGAAAAGTATGCCCTGTAGACCGTCAGTCTTTGGAAGTCTCATGGAAGCATGCCATAACCGCCCTTTCTCAAAACCCCTCAAGGATTCACCCCACTCCACCTCGCCACCACCTCAATAAACTCCCTCGCAAACCCCTCCTTCTCCTCTTTACTAAAGATCTCCTTCCAAACCTCATTCTCCTCCACCACCTCCTTCGCCAACACCTCATCCGCCTTCTTCGCCAACTCATACAGCTGCCTCCCAGCCTGGCGCACCTTCAACACAACCGCCGTCTCCTCCTTAGTAATCATATAAGGCGCAATGTCAGCTTTCAGCATATCAAACCCCATGTCAGTAGCGTAAAAGTCATCTAGCTGCGCTTTCTGATATGCCTCCAACGCCTCCATCTGCTCTTCGAAGCGGGTGAGGAGGGCTTTGGCGTGGGTGCGACCGTCCATCCACACAGCGGTTTCTTCGAGCATTTCTTTCCGGTTTGGGGCTTCGTCGAGATGGGCTTCGGTGTCGGCTTGGGTTTTGTTGGCGCCGGAGATGGTGTCGTGGGCTATGGGGAGGAGGGTTCGCTCGATCAGCTTGCGGTAGTCTAGAATGAGCATTTTTAGCGCGGTAAGACGGTTGTTGAGGGAGGCGATTTGGGCATAGGGGTGGGGGGTTGCGGTCGACATGGTAGGATATTTGATGGGGATATGAAGAGGAGAGAGGATTTAGTAGTGCGGCTTCTTTTCAAATGAGGTGGATGAGTTTGTGAAGCAAACTTTTGAGATATCATGAGATCTAGAGTTGAGTTATCATGCTGCCAAGCTGTGTTCAAAACGTGGTGACTGTGTATCTGGTGAGGGAGAACAATAGGAGCGATGAGCAAACGCAGGTTGGACGTGAAGGAGCACGACGGTCAATTGCAGACAATAGAAAAGAATGCTGCTGAATAGACTGTTTTGTGACTTTAATTCGAGGAGGCAGCCACCCACGGAAGAGAATATGCGTATTGAGACGTCATGGTTGCTAAGCTGCTAAAGGACGCCGTGGTTGAAAATATAAGAGCGATGGGTCTGCGAGAGTAGTTCACTCAACATGCGTACACAAGGTATGTCTGTAGTAGCCGCGTCTCGTGCAGTCAGCAGACTTAGTCATCGAGATTAGCATTTTCATAGCCACTATGCTCATGTATCGTCTGCGATGTTGTTACGTGTCTACTTGGGAGATAGCTCTCATGGCCTCTGACTAAGCGCCAGCTTCCTCAATTTCCCATCTCTTAGAACCATCTGATGCCCAAAAGCTGACGGGGAGATCTTGTAACCTAGGCGCACCCCATCTCTACAAATTGCTGTCTAGAGCTGGCTTTCTTCAAGCTCGTGATTGTTGCATTGACGGCGTGACAAGATCGGCTTAATCACAGGTCTTCATGCCACGTATGCGCTACTGATTGTTCGAAATTGTTCGGAATACGAGATCAAGGCCAGGAAGTCTAACACAACAAACAGGATTAAGGGGAGCTGATGAAGAGAACAAAGGCGATGGACAATCTAGGCAAGTTCGGAGACCGAGGTAGTAATAGTGCACTCGTTGACAGCACATAGTGTGGGGGTGAGCGACTAAATGGCAGAACACCGCCCCATGGTGGCGTCGCATAACGCTGTCATTTAGGAGGTAACAACGAGACACTCTCCCAAGGTATGCCCTGGGGGCTGGGAAGCCGCGTCGGGACGAAGCGAGCCGACTAGGCCGCTTTAGATGGGGCCCCGGGATACATGCATGGACCTGGCAGTCATCTTCGTCACGACTTTGGGTCCAAGTCCAAGCGCGTCGACGAAAGAGGTGGGGGTGGCTCAAGGCTGTGCAGCACTGTCATCATCATCGAGGTAATGTCGATGAAGTCAATGAGCTGTTGAAACATGCCGAGCTCCAATTGGGATCCGCAGCCAGCTGGGAGTATAATGGAAGAATTGTGAGAAGATGAAACCGCGATAATTCATGTCCGAAACTCACAAAGACATCTAGAACAACGGAAGAGCCCCTACTTCTATTGACATGACTGCTAGCGTCAGGCACCGGACTGGGAAATGAGACGGATCGCTGCTCATTTCGCGCACGGAAGCGACCCGCACACACAGATGATCGGATCGATAGGCGAAGCCGCGGCAGCGCTGCTTGGTGTCATCTCGGTAGTTGTCGTGAGGTGGCCAGGTACAGGTCGTGGTCCGCGGCATACGATCGTGTTTGAGAAAAGTAAAGATCGTTGACGTAGATGCGGGCGCTAAGCATGGACTTGACGCGATATCACATGACCAAAGCATCATCACGACTACCTATGCAGCGCAGCGATCATCGGATCCGGGTACAAGTAGCGCTCCGTCACACCGCTCACAGAGAGAGGTGCGACAGCGCTCGCGGGGTAGACAAAGGCGCTGGTCGCGATTGGGTCTCGTGAGCCTCAGCAGATAACGCAAGAGGATGCATGTCATCTCCTGGGGCTGCCATTGGCGCGCGAGGTTACGCAGAGATGTGAGGGTTCGCATCGGCTGCAGAGTAGAGTGAAAATGTTGATGGCACACAGGAAGGTGTGTCGAAGCAAAGACGCCTCGTGACGCTTGTAGCGCCACCCAGCAACGCGTGGGCTTGACTTGACATGTTACTCAACAAATCTAAAACGAACCACGACCTTGTGTGGGAAATGCCCGCAGCCCGTCAAATGCTCGCACCGCGGAGCAGAGGCATTGCTAGCAGAATGATCGGTGCTTCCGTTGTCGATGTCTGTCTTTGTCGAACAAAGCAAATGCCAGATTCCATGGCCCGCGCCAGCCGTGCAAGCTGCGACGGTGGAAAGTACGGTGAGCAAGCCAATAGTTGAGACAGGGTTGCTTTGCCTGCCTCAACTGCAGCACCCCTTGGCAGCCTCTCTCACCATGACGTATGAATCGAACGACAAGGGTAACCCACCCCCAGCGCGCCCGAGATCTAGCCTAGTAAAAGTCAATCGGCGGATTGACACCTGCAAACAGCCAATCTGCCACCCAAATTTGCTCGAGTCGGCGAGCTGCGCGCGGTCGGTCCCAATTTCCGCAGCGTGCGCTCCTCGAAGGGGTGTTGCCCAACCGCGAGCGCAACGGCCGGGGGTTTTCAAGCAATCGGAATCGAGGCGGCACAAGCGAGCCTGTGTGTGCATCTAACAGGGAACGGCGAGGCTGCAGCACGTTTATCGTGAATGCGGGAAACACTAGTTGGGGCACGGTGCAGGGTGCTGTATTGAGGGGAATCTGTCGGCCCGCGCTTGCTCTCACCTAGTGGCGCTATGATAAGCTGTTGCCCGTAAAACCTTGATTCCCATCCTCTGTTATTATGCGAAACTCGTCCTCCTCCATTCTCTACTAATCGTAATACCGCCATCATGCCTCCTGATCCAAAGGACGCGCCCTTCCCCACCAAGCAGCTCTTGATTCTCGGTATGTATGGCGGCTGCAGGTGATGTCATGTTGATTGGACCGTCGCTGACCACCGCTTAGGGATATGCCGATTCTCCGAGCCTCTCGCCTTCAACTCTATCCTCGCCTACTCACCTTTTATGGTGCGGGACCTGGGCATCAGCAAACACGATGCTTCGTTCTACGCGGGACTCTTGGTGTCAGCGTACGCCATCGCTGAGGCCATGACGGCCCCATTATGGGGAATGGTGTCTGATGTGTACGGCCGGAAACCTGTCGCGCTCATTGGCTTGCTCGGTGTCGCCGCATCGAGTCTCATGTTCGGTGTTGCGGAAACGTACTGGGTCGCCCTGCTTGCGCGCTTCATCGGCGGTGCACTGAATGGAAATGTCGCAATCATGCAAACTATGGTCGCAGAGTCGGTCAAGAACCCAGCCCACGAGCGTAAGTAAATCGCGCAGTCCGCATCAGGCAGGTCAAGCTAACACGAGATAGCGCGCGCATATGCCACACAGCCCTTCGTCTGGACGGTGGGCGGTATCATCGGTTCGGCCATGGGTGGTTTCCTCGCTCAACCAGCACGACTTTACCCCAACGTTTTCGACCAGGACGGTATTTTCGGACGCTACCCGTATCTTCTGCCTAACCTGATCGCCGCCATTGGTATTCTGCTGGCCATTCTCCAGGGTATGATCTTCTTGGAGGAGACCCTGGTCCGGGAAGAGAAGCCAGAGGGAGAGAACGGCATCGAAGACCACCACGATTACCACGACCATCTGGACACCATCAACGAGACCCCCGCAAACGAGCGCAGCCGTCTCCTTCCCCCGCCGTCAAACCATCAGCATGCGAACCGCGACGCCCGAGGCTCAACCGCTGGCTCGATGAGACATCGTGGCTCCATGTTGAGCGTTACGCGCGACCGATTGGCCTCCATGTCGGTTTCCGGCAGCATTCGACAGATCCGCAAACGAGCTTCTTTCCTGGAAGAAGGTATGCCCATGCCTTTTGCTCAAAACTTCGATATCCGCCGCTCGTCTTTTGGAACCATGCACTCGATCAAGGTCCAGCAGGATGTGCTTCCGATCCGGGGCGGACCGACCCCGAAACCCCGAAAGACGTTCAACCGGACTGTAGTCATGATCGTTCTCGCTATGGCCATCTTCGCTTTCCATCAAATGGCCTTCATCTCGATTCTCCCGGTTTACATTCTGGACACGCCTGCAAACCAGGGCCTTGATTTCCAGGGTGGACTAGGACTGGACTTGCCCGATGTTGGAAAGTTCCTCACGGTCAACGGTTTCATCACGCTCTTCGTCCAGGGTTTCATCTTCCCTCCATTTGTTGAGTGGGTTGGTGTCTGGAACTCCTTCATCTGGATGATCATCCTTTACCCGATTACATACCTCATCGTACCTTTCATCAGCGCTCTTCCCCACGGACTCATTACCCCAGGCATCTACGTTTCGCTTTTCCTGCAGGCCTTCTTCGGTATCATCGTCTTCCCATGCGCCCTGATCCTGATGAAGAACGCCGTTCCTTCACCACTGGTACTTGGTCGCGTCAACGGTATCGCCATGTCAGCGTGCTGCTTAGCGAGAACCATCTCTTCTCCTCTGATCGGATTGATTTACTCGCTCGGTGGATCTGCAGCAGCCTGGTTCGCTCTCGCTGCCGCGGCCATCTTTGGCATGATCCAGCTTTTCTGGGTCCCCAAGGAAGATGTCGGCGCTGTTCAAATCGACAACGCCCTCAAGAAGGTTATACATCACGATATGGATGAGGATGCGGTAGACGACATTTCCATCATTGAGTCTGTACGATAACAGCGCTCAAAACGATTACGACAGCAACAAGTTTGAAAAGCGGTGGATCTTGGAGTAATATCTAGAGCGTCTTGATTTCCGACGCTGCATGTCTTTCGGCGTTGTATTGGGTTTCCTCGACATGTTCATGTCTTGAGTGCCTGGTCTTCTATGTTCTTCATTGATGCTAGCATCACAGCATTTTTTCTTTCTTGCATAGCGCGTTGATAGAGCTCAATGCCACTCATGTTGCGACTTGGACGGATCTTATCCTTGGAATCCTTGAATGTGATGCTTGACAGTCGATATATACTTGGGTATCGGCCCGCTTGGGCAGTCCGTGCAACTTACCTTGAGTACGCACAGACAGCTGCCTACTGCACGTCGATCTAGGCCCGCTGTGGGTCCTACCACTCGGTTGGTGTAGCAGACGGAATGGCGGACATCCGGTGTGGTGATCGTGGTCTATTCGCTGGCCAGCCGGAGTGCGATGGGATGCTGGCAAGGCGTACGACTATCAATAGGGGTTCAGCATTCTGGCGATAAAAAATCCTAACAAGAACCACGACATAAGCAGCGAAAGCCCACAGGTGGTTTGGAGGCATCCTGAATTGCACTGGAGGAACATCTCAACTATACTAGCTTCCTTGACAGGCAATAGTGGCTGGGTATATCTGGGTAACTTCGTTCTGCGTTTTGGGACCTTGGGTCGGGAACCTACTATTGCCCTCTTCCCGTAGTTTTGACCTGAATTCCATGTTGCGTAAGTAGTAGCGGTTGCTGGATTGCGGAGTTGGTTGACCAAGTGAACGTAAGTCTGGGGAGCATGACATCCTCGAATCTTGGTGGAAGTTGACATGCTAGCCCCAATAATCCCTCATGGTTCGTGAAAGTATTGCTCAGCGGAAGTATAGCGTGGGAAGATGCTTGGTGAGTAATCATCGCATTGTGAGTTCGCGATGTGCACGATGTTTCCCCAGTAAAGAGGCCATGCCGTGAGATACTACCGCAGCTCCAAGATTTTCTTTTATCGTTTGCAAGTCACGACATGCCGTTGTGAAATTTCGTGATTGCGCATCATCACTGTCGCGGGTGTGGGTGAAAGCTATGGCCGCCTGATCGCGAATGAAGTTCGCCGGCTGCACGACGTCCGACTCCCGGCTTGGCAAGAGCCTGCATGTCCCCGAGGTAAGCTGGCCTTCGCCTGTTCGCAGCTGCCCTACCTCGCCCACTAATTCTCTATTGCTTGCACTTTTGGTGATGCTTCTCTAGCAGAAGCGACTCACTATGACGCTTGACGCGGCAGCCCGACCATGGATCATTGGGGCGACCCGTGGGCAGACAACAATGCCGACGAACAAAAGTCGCCGACGAAGCACGAGGTGACCTCACCACCGCCGCCTACTCTTGCGCCTGCACCGGTGCTATTGAATGGCTTTCTGGATGATGCTGGGTGGGGGAATGAGGACGAGAGCTTTGGTGACTGGACTACGTCATCTGGACATGATACCGCTGTTACTACGCTCACGGAGACGTGCACAGCTGAACCCAGTCCACTGAAGAATGAGAGGGCAGTTGACGATGGGCCGCGATGGGATTTGAAAGATGCAAGCGAGCATGGTTCGCCGACACGGGAAGACGCGTGGGGTGGACAGGAAGATACTTCCGATGGGGACAATGTAACCTCGGACACTTCCGACACATCGACTACGATACAACCGGACAGGTCTCCCAGTCAAGACGCGGTCGCTCCTGCGAGTCGATTACAGCCCGACGATGACTCCTCAGCACGACCTTCTACTTCCCCATCCGAGACGAGCCGCACCGAAGCGCCGGTCGAATCACCAAGAACATCATTTGAAGAAGAGGCTGGCAGGCTGCAGACTGCAGTGGAGGAGCCGAAGCCTGAGGAAGTACACGCTGCAGCAAGCCATGAGGACAGTGAAGTGGATGCTTCGAGCTCGAGCAGCGACAGCACAGACGGTGAATTCGGGACGTTCACGCAAGATACCCTGTTGACGGAAGCTCCCTCTGGTCCACCAGAAACCACACAGAGTTCTGAAGGAGACCAGAAGGACACACCGGAAGAATCAGCCGCTTCCCGCTCTGGATCGCCAGTAGCCTCTTCGGGTGCTGCTGTTGCCTTACACGATGCTGATACCTATCGACTCAATACAGACCTCTTCGGCGACCTCTTCCCTTCTAGCGGCGATACAAAGGAGCCAGAGGAGGCACCAGATGACCCTATATACTCGACATCTGGGCGCAAAGCTTGGTACCGGCTTACGCGCAAGCAGACCATGAGGGAGTTCAACAGCGGGAACGCTGACGACAACTACATTCGAGTCACATGGGCAGGATCTCAAGTCAGATCGGAGGTGAACAAAACTGTGGCAAGATGGGCACGCGAAGACCGTCTCTCTGGTACAGGTCCAGGCGCCAGAGCGTCATTCTATTGGGACACACCTGCGCCTCCAGTGCCCAAGACCGCAAGAGGACACCTGCGCACGAAGACCACCATTCCCACACCGCGAGCAGTCGAAGTTGTACCAGCTCGACAAAGCATGCCTCCCGTGTCCACTGACGCCCCGGCTGCGTTCAACTGGAGTTCTCCCACTACTACAGTGGACCCTTGGAAGCAGGACAGTCCCGGTTTACCGCCTATAATCCCGCCTGTCGCGCTTAAGCATAATGCTGTCGAAATTACACAAGCGAATGAGCTTCGTGCAGTTTCAATTGACCTGACACGCGATGTTGGGGAAACACATGGGCAAACGCCGAGTGAAACGCCGGTTGTCGCAACGAAAGCAATCCCACCTCCTGAGCCAACCACGACCTCTTCAAGTCCTTGGGGAGACATTGCTGCTCTCGACACCAACACTTCCAATCAGGAACAACGTACGGATGTGCCTGCAGAAGATGACGATGATTGGGGTGAGATGATATCAAGCCCTACAGTATCTACTTTCCCCTCAGCCTTTCCAAGCTCCATACCCGCGACGCTCGACAGCACTGTGTCAAATTCAGCATCACCACCAAAGACTCCACCAACCCAGGACCGCTCAGCCGAAGCGATGCATATTGTGCGCCTGCGAAGTACCATATCGCCAACATCAGCGATCTTTGGTCCGAAAAGTTTTGTTCCATTCCACGCTGAACAAGGACCTATTGGACCTGGGCTGTTGAAACCCGCCAAGCGCTCTGTTTCTGCCACGTCGGAGAAGAGCAAAGTCGAAGTTCCATCAAGACCGATTTCAGAAGTCATTCCACAAGATGAAGTCAAAGCTGATGCATTGCCGGCGCGCGATGCGCATGATATCAACAAAATTGTTATCAACGAAGTGAAGGTTGAAGAGACTGGTACGAACGGCACGGAAGATGACGACTTTTCCGCCTTTACGTCCAATACACATGAGCTAGAACCTGCCAGGCCTAGCACCCCGCCTTCAGCACCCATAGCACGAGATGAACCCACCATAGATGCTTGGGCGGACGCCGATTTCTCTTTCTTCGAATCTGCTCCTACCACGAAAGCGTCTGCGCCGACTACGCGCGATTCGTCGGATCCCTTTTCCGTCTTTGAGACTCCTCCGAGACCGAGCAGTGCTGCATCTTCGGCAAAGACGTTTACGCGGTCACCTCCACGGACTGTAACTCCTCCGCCTATTCAGCCGCTCACTGGGGCTACAAATTCTGCGCAACGACGGAAGAACGATGAAGAACAGGTTATCAAGAGTATTCTGGCTGGGCTACCGGATTTGAGTTATATGTTGCGTAGATGATGTATCGTTGTTTAGATGGTTGTATACATGCTGTCCCTTGCATTTCACATGGCGTTTTCGGGTGCTTGGATATCCATGGTCGTTTTTAGCATTACTGGCATAGGTCACAGGGTCTTGTGGCAAGAGCGTTCCTTCGTACACGTCCAATTTTCATATCATTACTATCACTTAGAGGTGGATAGATACACAATATCGTCTCGGTTGTTCTTGCTTTCACATCACCTTCTCATTGCTTTTCACACTCCGGTTCACCTCTTCTTCGAGCACTTCACGTATTACAGATAGTCATCGCCGTTCTCATAGTCGCCATCGCCGAACAGCCACTCCCCTCAGCCCTTGGGCGTAGAGGTTCACTTTGATTTGGCGCACACTCTCGATTTAATCCTTCTCACCGATGCCTCTTCGAACTAAACCACACCCTCCCTCAACTCGAGCACTATCTCGACACGCAACGTCAACCACTCCTACCCTCGACTCTACTCGACAAAGCTCTTACCAAAAGATAGCAACACACAATGGGAAAACATTACCACGTTCGTCATAGGAGTACCGGCGAACGCTATACAGTTACCGTCCCCGCCGACTGCGCCCCTGCCTCCGTACGGTCGACGTATGAAGCTGAACATTGGAGGACCCGAGAGATAAGCTACGGAAGCGGCTCAAGGCACGATACCGATGACTTTCGATTCCCGAGTCGACCAGTGCTGCCAGATGGTTTAATCCCCATCGATGGCTCACGCTGCGAACCCATTGAGACTCATCCCGGAATGCTATACCCTCCACGCAATCGACACGGTCCCTTCACGCCTCTGCCCCCGTTCCCCCAAGAAGTCCACTCTCCACCACAGCGACACGTCTCCTTCGCCCCCGACCCTCGAAGAGATCCTCCCCTCCCTTCCTACCCACCTAACCCCACACGCCGAAACGGTCAAGGCCACTCCCGCAGCAGGAGTGCGCCTGTGAACCCTTTCGAGGGCTCACACCACAGTGGGAATGTTTCGGACAGGCTCGCCCAGCTTCCTGAATACGCTCGCCGGCATCCTCGGTTCGAGGAGGCGAAGTATGCTATGCAGATGATATGGAGGTATCCTAGAGATGATCCTAGGGCGGTGCCGTGGCAGATGGTGCTTAGGGATATTACGGAGGATATGGAGAGGGTGGGGTTGGATGGTTTGGCGGGGGGCATGAGGTAAGGGGGTTTTGAGAGGCGGGGGCCATGGTACTGCGATGACGCAGAGCGAGACGAGCCACTCACAACTTCCGCAACATCGACGACCTTGACGAAAAGATACTCTCACGAATGAGAGAAATTGCAAGTATGATATATTGAGGGGCGGGGGCGTGGGGTGTGTGAATGAGGGTCGTGGGAAGGCTGCGGAGTTGGGTATACGTTGGGAGATGCCTAGTCTTGCGTGCTATTTGCTTTTCGTGCTCATGAAGGTGTCACCTTTCCATCATATCACCGCAAACTGCTTGTTGATTTACCGCCTCAGCTATGTATAAGAGCTGCTCTCGGATCCTGACCTCTCATCTTCGAAGCGAAACATCAATCATCAACACGACAATGAGTTCAACGGCTCGATTCAACGATCCCCCGCCCTACGTACCACCGAAAGCCCCAGGCCATGTCATACTCGCAGTCGTCCCGATACAGTTCGTAGTCGCTTGTGATACCATTCTGAGAGCAGCAAGAGAAGCCATTCTGAACAACACGAATAAAGACCACTTCGAAAAGAATCCAAGCGAATGTACGCTTTATGATTCTTACTCCGTAACTCAACAGATACTCCAAAATGACTACACTTGGCCTCTAGTCGTTGATCGAGATGCATCCCTGGCCACGAACATACACAAGATAGAGGCGGAGGCGCGCATGTGGTTAGACAACTCCCCGCTCTTCATCCAGCATCGCAGCGATCTGGAGCTTTACCTCACAGCCCCGATCACCTTCAAACCGAGACGCTATATCGTGGATAATGGTGGTCTTTTACAAATGAGGGAAGAGAGGATTGCGCTTCGACAGCAGTTCCCTGATGTTTACTTGGACTGCACACTTTCGGTCGAGGACTTGTGCTCTGAAGAATATGGGAAAGCGTATCGAGAGTATTTGACTATGCTGGCTTGGCTTGAGAAGGCGCCACGGGAGCGCATGTATATCAGTGCACCGCATTTGGACGCCCCACGAGAACCTGATCCCTTCGAGTATAATCCACCGGGATACAGATGGTAGAGCTAGCAAGTCAGGTCACCTAGGTAGTCTTGATTAATCGCAAAAGGAGCCCGGGTTCTAGCCCAGTTGCCGGTGAAATCAATGTCATAATACTGATGTCAATCTTCACTTGTGGACTTCAACTTTGCTTTTAGCTCCGGGACGAACAAATAATGTGATGTCTCTGGCGATGTACGACTTACCCTTTCTAGTCTGCGAGCCGGTCAGTAAGACCTTTACTATTCTTGCTACCTAGCTAGTGTTCACTGACTGTCAGTGCAGGACCGTGCGGATTTGGACGGTCGTTTACTCTAGCGGTGCACATATCAGGGCTTATAAATTACAACATTCGATCTCTTCTGTCTACTCCCTCACTCCCGCGCACTACACACTGTCACTTCCACCATGGACGCGTCCGCGGACAAGATGGTGGACTTCGCCATCATCCCAATCGAGACTCTTATCGCCTGCAAATACATTCTCACTGAAGTATTGAACATTATCCACCGTAATACGTCTTCAATGGGGGTACTGTGCTCTCAAGATATCGACGCATTAAGTTTGCATTACCACCAAGCAAAAGAGCTGTTCGACTCTAGCGACATTGTCTGGCCACTCATTGTCAAACAGAAATCGCGCATCTACGACAACATCACTGGGCTCATGGAGAACGCGACCGAGTGGCTTGAGCGCTCTGCTTTCTCTGCGTTGTTCGCGGAGCATAGTAAGAACCTCAAAAAGTACCTAAGACTCCAGCGAGGCTTTTCTGCCAGCAGATTGGCCTTGCATCGGGATGGTACCGTTTTGAAGAGGGAGCTCATCGTTCTGGAGCAGCGCCAAATGATGCTGATCCACAGGGAGAACTTCGACCAACTGAAATTCTTTTGCTTTGGAGATCACGACAATATGCAGAAGTTCGAGAATTTCTTGATGGTACTGGCCTGGGTGAGAGAGCAGCCTCTCGGGCGTATGTTCAGCAAAGAATTCAGCGGAGCCTACTTGGAACACGTTCCACACGTCCAGGACGATCCACCCTCCGACCATGTCAGTCTCGCCGGTAAGTAGACGTTCTTCCAGTCTTCAAGCTCATATTTAACACTGTGTTAGACACCGAGTCTGTTGTCGACATACTCACTCCGTCAACCACTCGTACCACCTCACCAGCTCTCACCGAGCGCCCATAAGACAACTGGTGGAACAAGAAGTACCTGTGGATCAATCCATACCTGGTAGTTGTAGTGAACCTTAGGTACATCATGGGAAGGCACTTCCAATTATAAAGTACCTACATTCTGACCACTCGCTTCCCAACATTCTTAGTCTATGCATGATCTCTTTCGGCTGCTGCCTTCCCCGTTAGTGTTCACTGCCAAGCAAAGCGTTCGAGGACCGTGCGGGCTGCGACAGTCATTTGTTTGCTCCAGTGGGGCACTAGTTTGAGTGCACGAAAAACCACGACTTCCTCAGCTCAGGATTTTGTACGTTCACATTTCCTTCGATAATCGATTCTAACTTTGACCTCGCCCTTACCCGCCACCATGGACGCGACTTCCCCAGAGATGATTGACTTCGTCATCGTTCCAATCGAGACTATGGTCGCCTGCATCTGCATTCTCTGGCAAGTCGATCAAGCTATCAAACACTCCATGCAGGTCCATGGAAACATTAAAGGAACTTCAACACTTCACATTACCGGCTACAATTTGATCGCGAGTAACGCGTCGTGGCCGCTAGTTGTGAAAAAAGATTCGGTATGCCACACTACTTTCAAGGAAATCCACGAAGCCGCCGCAGGATGGCTACGGCGCTCGCCTTTGTTCGAGGACACACGAAACGAACTTGCGCAGTACCTGGAGTTGCCAGCTGGATTCTCCGCGAGCACTTTGCGGATTATGAACAACGGTGCTATCTTCAACAGATCAGCCGTTCTTCTCCAGCAGTCTACCAGGGAATACTACCTCACTATAACCAACCAGTACGGCTTTCTGTCCAACGCCGAGAGCAACAAGCAAAAATATCGCGCCTTCCTGACTCAGCTGATGTGGATGCGGGAGGACCCTATTGCGAGGATGTTCAAGTCGGACTTCAAGGGAGAGTTCCAAGACCACTCAAAAGTCACCGATATTGGGGGACTGTCATATCAGCTCGAGAGCTTCAGCGTTGCTGGTATGTGTATTCATTCTCTTGCTATATCTCAAAGCTGACAACAGTGAGACGGCGCGTCTACTATCGCCATAGGCACTCCTTCAACTACTCGCGCAACTTCACCAGCCCTCACCGAGCGCGCAGACAACGACACCGCCGAGAGCGACGCTATCAAGCTACCGACCCTCAAGTACATCGCCATCATCGAGACCGACAACGATAACAAGGCCATCTTTGACCTCGAGTTCGCCGACGTCAACCAGGATAAGCATAAGGTCCTGGTCATCGCGAAGGATATGTGTACCGAGATGGTTTCCAAGGGTTATGAGAGCAAGGTCAAGCTGCAGGACATCATGGAGATGGCGGTCAAAATGGCGAAGAAGTGAGAAGTGCGAAAGAGGCAGCAATTGACCGAGCTTCAGTTGCGCTCGCTTGTCTGTGAGACACATGATGGAAGGAATCATGGTGCGAAGACCCACGGGGCTGCAAAATCTTTACGCGAAAAGGAAACTTAGTAGCAAGATGAGAAAGCTGTATGTATTGAGCACGTACGCGTGCTCAATGTAGTCACACAAGAATACTAAATGTTCATGATACGTCCTCTTGACTTCGATGATTTCGTGAGCTTGCAGCTATGCGAGACCAGTACATAGCTTATGAGCTAGCGCGGCGTATGGTGCTCACAAAGCTTTCAGGCGCTCAGATCCATCGCATCCCCAGCAGGTCGCTTCTTGAACCCAAAGCGCGCATCCAGCTTCCTGATCGTGCTCTGCCTCATCTCCTTCGAAGGCCAACCTTGACTTGGCACCCTAACCTTCTTGTCTCCCCTCAACTGCACCGGCACCGGGATATTCTCACCAGTCTTGCTATCCCCATACCCATACATGACAAAGTCAAGATAGTACTGCTGCACATCCAGGCCCCTCCTGATACTCTCAGTGATGACCAGATCCAAAGCATGCGGCATCCTCTTTCCGTCTTCGTTCCAGCCCTCAAGGCTCAGTAGACCCCACTGGTCTTCCAATACGCTATGGTCTTCTACGTCTTCGAGCCAGGGATGGGCTTCGAAGTCCAGATCATCCATAAGGTATGTCGCAACGACCATCGCACTGGTGGTATCGTAGTTGAACTTCATTTTGCCACTGAGCGCTTCCCACAGCGGAGTCAAGCTCTTCTGGGCGAGCAACATGGGACCCAGCTGACAGACGCCGTTGCCCAGTATGGGATCGGAGAAGCGCATGTCGAGCTTCATGAAGAAGAGCTGGATGTTGATGAGATCGGCGTCGGTCCAGATATCGGCATCTTCGAGGAAAGAGCGACGCGTCCTTGATTCCTTGAGCTCCATGACGCACCAGTACTTCATCAGCGCGCCCTCGCAGGCCTCCGGTACGCGATGGCCTTCCAGAGCCATGTATGTAAGGATGCTTCGTACGACCTTCTGGCGGTAGACTATCATGCCAACCCAGCGAAAGCCTGGTACGTCGCGCGCTAGCCACTCGCGGCCGTCCATGGGTCGGAGCATGGGATCGGAAATGCATGTACGAGGGTACAGTACCCAGCTGAAGATGTGACCGGCGAGTGGCGCATGATAGCGGGCGTAGTCGTGTATTAGGGAGACGCTGTATAGATTCAGGCGGTAGTGGAATTCCTTGTCGATGGCGTAGAGGTCGACGATGGACGGGTAAGGTAGGCGGAGCGCGAATTGGAAGAAGAGGTTCGGGTGGCGGATTATGGCCTTGTAGACACTGAAAAGCTGCTTCGGGGCAGGTCCACCGGTGAAAGTTTGGGGTATGGGCGTGGAGGGTATGTCTGGGCCCCATATCTCGGCGGCGATATTGTGACGGCGGTGTTGGCGGCGGCGGACGACGGTAGGCGCATTACTCTCGGTTGTGGAGGAATCCTGAAGCTTGGCAGTAGTTGGAGAACCATCTTCGACTGCTCGTTTGTTTTTCCCTTTCGCGTTCGCGTTGAGATAGAGCGGGCTTGGTGGAGGCTCCATGATTGTCGTAAAGCTTGACCTCGTGACCTAGTATCACCTAGGTGAGACCAAGGTGCGCTCGAGTAAATATGCGGAATTAGTTCGAAGATGTACTCCCACCCAGGTCAGGGTGGTCGCGTACGTAGTTTAGGCTTTTCGCACATAATAGTTGCTGTCAGGTCGTCGTGCCAACAAAACAGCGGGACGCCCAGGCAACCAACTACACAGCAAATTCAGAGCACCTGAGATGAGAGTAGAACTAGGCGACTGCCCGGAGTTTTCCGGCGACTCTACATTCAAAATATGCGATACTCGTTGCAGACGCGTGTGTGGATCAAAAAGGGAGGTTTGCGTGAACGGAAATGACAGCTCGCCCCGGCTCCAGCATCCGCATGAATCCCAGCCCTACTGAATGAACATGGAGTATACGAAATAGAAAGGATCAGAGCTGTATACTGTACCGTAGCAGTGAAATTTCGACATATGCACTCACCATTGCTGCAGGCATGCGATGCTCCAGGCTCTTCCTCTCAGACGCGCTTTTTATATAAATTACGGCATGTTCACACGTTCGCCTTCTAGCCGAACGCGCGAAATTGCTTCGACAGGGTCGGTGATGGCCATCCGGTGGTGTTGAAGGTGTATGTGAAGGCGTGGATGAGTGAGAGGACGACGCATCAACGTCATTGGCCCGTGCGCTGCAACCCCCGCCTCGGCCCCTCGTCGTCGTCCCTGCATAATCTGATAATTTAGTTCGCCGTGGGAAAATCGCGTTCCTCACGCATCACAACAAATTCTCCGATTAACGACTTCGTATCACAGTCGCCAAACACGGCTACCTTCCATCGCCTGCAGTACGTGTTTGCTCTCGGCCAGAAATCAACGCCTTCCGCCACGCGATTATTGACTTGAGATATCTAGGACAACTTAGGCATCAATATTCTAATAATTGAATCAACTCAAGTAGTACAATCATCGATCATCGCTATAAAGTCATCTCTTCAGTATACGAGAGCCTCCGCAATCGCGTACCACGCGCATCATGACATCCAACCTTCTGGCCACGGCGACGTCGGCGCTCCCCAACGAACTCGCTCTCGTCGTGATCGATCATCTCGAAGGCAACAACAAGGCCTTATGCGCTCTCGCTCGGACATGTCGCGATATGCAAAACCTCGCCGAAGAGCGACTCTACAAGCGAATCGTGCTTCTATCCGTAAAGGACCTCCACGCCATCATCGAAGCCTTCACATCGCGTCCCGAACGCGTCCGCGCCGTACAAACACTCAAGATCTTGTATTCATACAAAGATGACAGTTTAAAAGACAGCGCCGAGATAAGGACGACTTTCAACGAGTGCGTAGCTCGTATGGTCAACCTAAGGGAGTGGCATATTGAGAGCCCGTACGATAACTTTCATTGGGAGAACGATGGTGGAGAGGCTTGGGTCAACGGCGATATGCAACGCTTCCGCCGTGCGCTCGACACAGCTTGCGTGGATGGCCCGATAGAGACGGACAAGATCGCGGCTGAACGGCGCTTGGGGAAGAATCTCGAGCGTACAGTTGGGTTAGGTCTTCTTGAGAACTTGACCATCCATTCGCACGGTACTGCTACCGACTTCTGGAACCTTGACGGGTTCCATTGCCTCTTCCGACACCCCGCACTCAAACACCTTCACGTCTCCTGTGTGGCCTTCCCAGACTCTGAAATCCCAGAGCTCGCGACACATACGAAGAGGACTCCTCTGACCTCGCTTGTTTTTGACGAGTGCGAACTGCGGTCCAAAAGCCTGCTCAGCATCCTTCGCACTCCGGCGCGTCTGAAGTCGTTGACTTTGGGCGAGAATGTCTTCAACATTAACCGGTCAAGGCGGGCTAAGCCGTTATTGAACAAAGACGCAGGCGTATCACTGGAGGCTCTCTCCGCAGTCGCGCACTCGCTGGAAAGCCTTACACATCTAAACCCTGGCTGGCGTCTTGACAAAAGCCCTCAGGTGCTCCGCAGCATACGCCCACCTGGTGATGGTATGCGCGATTTCCACCTTCTGAAGTACCTTGAATGCGACACGAACTCCTTCCTACATCAGGCTATCATCATGAATCGTGATCTGGCGCCCCCTAGCCTGGAAACACTTCGAATCCGTCGGCATTGGGATGTTCCGATCGACTTCTGGGATCAGCCGCCTGACTTTGATCACTACGCCGCTCTGCCATCTCTGGACACACTCGAATTATTGCAATCATCATACATGTGGTAAGTTCTGATAACAAATAAAACGTTGTTATTTAAATCATGCGCTGACTATGCCCCGTGTGGCTCCTAGGCTCGACACGGCAAAATCTGAGTACATCTGCGATGAGGAACGTCTTCGCAATCGCCACGCAAAGGCTTTCAAGCTGCACAAGGCTGGCATCAACCTGAAGATGTCGTTGGAACTACACAAAAGCGAAGGCTTGATACCACCGTACCTGCACAAAGAGCGCGTTCCTATTATCGAATGTTTGTACGATGCGAGCATGGAGGGATTCAAAAGTTTCATCAGGAAAGAAGTGACAGATGAAGACGGAGAGACGAGTGAATCGCTTGCGAGAGAAGAGGCTGAAACGGACCAACTAAGCGATGTGGACATCAGCCTGTTAAAGTCGAAGACGCGTCGTCTTACGCTTACCATGAAGCACAGCCTCGTGAACCGCGGCCACCGACTCCCATCATTCAGGGAAATATTCGGCTCAGATGATGGAAGCGAAGAATCGGCCGATAGCGATGAGGATTTCGAGGTTGATGACCTTGACGAGGATGACGATATGGCGCTCGATCTTGAGCTAGACGACGATGTCGTCCAACAGTATATCGACGAAGATGGCAATCCGGTGTTTGACGAAGATGGCAACCCTGTGTTCGAGGACGACGGAGAGCTTTTCACAACCGTGTGGGAGGTGGCTACCGAGGACGAGTATGATAGTGATATGGATGAGGACACGGGTGAGGATGACGACGATGACGAGATGCACGACGCGTTGGAAACCCAGCAACAGCCCGCGAACACCAGCACCAACGACGACGTTGACTAAGCAGTCTTGGGAGAGTGACAGCTGTTTATGTTCGACTTCGGTAGTCTGTATGGCCACAACAGTGTATTCTTGTGTATTCTTGGCTTTAGAGAAGAGTTTTAACGATGCATGTATTATCAAAAGTGTTATGCTGATGACCAACAGTAGCGCTATGTGCTCGTGCAACACATACAGCTTCGGATCACAGTCTCTATATAAATCCTCTCTCAAGAATGAACGAACGCCGGGTATTTGAAAAGGTATCGCACCAAATCAGTAGCTAATACACCACTGCAAAAGAAGTCTGCGATAAACGTCAGCCATGACTTCATACTCCCCATCGCCCATTAACTTACCTCCACCAAACCCATCATCGCGCACACCCAAGAGTCTGTGACGAACAGTACGCGTTCTCCCTATTGATACATTAGCACTTCACTCCTAGATGATCTCACACCATTCACGCCCCTCATCCCATTCCTTCCCAATCCGGCAGGTATACCGCCTTCCTCCCCCAAACCTGATTCAAGAACTAAACATACCTCGTCAAATAACTCCCATCCGCCTTCGCCCTCCTCGTTTCCAAAAGTGGCGGCACAAACGGTAGTGCAAGAGCCGAGACTACGTAACTTGTTGCTAGAGTGGCTTTGAGGCGGTAGTGTGGGTCGCGTGGGAGATGGCGGGTGGAGTATGTGCGGAGGTGGGAGAGGGCGTGTGTTGAGATTGCCATTTTGTGTGCCGGTATGTGGAAAGAAGCAAGGAAGATGGTATATGAAGTTTCGATCTGGATTAATGGTTGTGCCTTTGTATCGTCGTTGCGGTCGTGATTAAAGATGCTCGCGTGTGACCAGCCCTACGGAAGATGATCTCGGAATGTGGGGCCAGGAAGGTTCGGTGGTGTCGGCGCGTGTGGGGTCCTGGTTGCGTCGGTAATTCTGTACTCTGCTTTATAAACCTCTTCAAAGCAAGTCAAGACAGGTAGAAAAATGATAGCATGGGGGCGTCGGAGGGTATTAATACGTTTCAAGATGGCTGCCTAGGACGTCTGCCCTGAGGCCATTGAGCAAGGGGTGACCGAACGGTCCTTCGCACTACGGCCGCGGCTGACTTGCACGTGGAGATGAGCGACGTATGCAGGCGGAGTCAAATGTCACCATTTTTGTGGGCTGCGGTTAGGGCTGCCTTGACGCTAGGAAGCGTTTCCGTTGCTTATATCTTGCTTTGAAAGCGTCTCTTGCGGATTCGGCTTATCAAAGCGCAAAGTGTACATACTGAGAGCATTGGTAAAACGGGCCTGAAGTGATCGTTGAATATGTTCGCGTAGATTCTCTATTCATCTTTCTACCACATTTCTTCAGGCGTGCATTCGCGAGGATGCCTCAGGATCTTGGCGATCCGGGTCACACCACCCTCGCGCGAGTACGCGCGAGCCGCCGCTTTTTCGCGGTAGATGCTTTTACCGGGGTGCAGAAAGAGTCCTTCTTGGCGACAAACGGCGCATTGGTGAGCAGTTGGTCACGACATCTTTGCTCGCAGTCACGAATCGGCGGTTTTCGCGGACCGGGTGGCTGTCAGCAGGAACGACCAGATGCTGATTGGTGGATGGCGTAGCAGTGGCCTTGCGCAACCTCGCTGCAACTTCTCTTTCTGTGACCACGCAACGTCACGATGATTGGCAACACTTGTGGCTCTCTTGCCCTGACCGGCCTGGATAGGTCGCATCTACAGCTTCTTCAATGCTTCGTCTGCAACTCCTTGTCGGTCTTTTAGGCGACTACCAATCTCTTTCGCCTGGTAGACAACGAGAATGTCGGCATCGATGACTGTGATCATCATTGCAGTGTCTCTAGGCATCATCGTGGTAAGCTGATGTATACTGCAGTCTCATACAAGCCATCACCCTCATCTTTTCCATGATCTTAAATTTCATACTACAAATTTGCATTGTCTTCGAGAAAAGCTCTCGGAAGCCATGTTGAGAGAAAAACTATCTGAACTTAATCGCTATTCAAGCTACTTCAGCTCACCCGGCTCGAAAAAAGAAGAAGAAAAAGCGACCATAGCGCGGGCTCATACCTCCTCAGCTACCCCATCTCCTCTAATTATTCCTCCTCCCATTACGATCAAAGTTGAAAAACTGGCGTCCACCACCACCTCCTCCACCGCCAGCACGACGCGAACTACCACCACCACCACCATAAGCCTGCTGAGGAGCATACCGCTGCTGCGGCCTATACCCTTCATCCTCTGAATCCGAGTCATCTTCGTAGTACCCCTGCCGACCAGATGGCTGTTGACGACGAGAACCCCCATAATCAAACATACGGCCCGGACCTCCACCATGACCATACTGTCCACCAGCACGCGGGTCTTCGTGTCCAGCTCCATACCGCGGATCTTGGGCACCACCGCGGGTGTAATCTCGATCGTCCATGTAGCGCTGTTGGCCGTAGCTAGGCTGTTCTTGGGCGCGGCTAGTGCCAGCAGTGCGTGACTGTCTGAATGGGTTGTCTGCGCGTGAGAGACCGGAGAACATGATGCCACGGCCACTACTACCACGCTGAGCTGGTTCATGGCTGCTGCCGCTCATGCCGCTCATAGGCCCGCCGCCGCCACCACGGCTGCCAGCGTAGTCGCCGAAGGGCTCGTGGTGCTCTTGGTACTGTTGGCCTTCAGGGCGCGAGGAGTCAAAGGTAGAGGAGAACGAGTATCCGCCTTGACGCGGGGTTCCGCCGCCCATAGGACCACCACCGCCGCCACGGCCCATCATAGGAGGGGGGCCACCTCCCATCATGCCTCCCATACCGCCGAAGGGGCCACCGCCCATGCCACCCATTGGACCGCCGAACGGGCCGCCCATGCCGCCGAAGAAGTCGTCGCCGCCTGAGTTGCCGAAAGGATTCATCTTGTGGGGTGTTGTAGGAGCGTAGGATTGTAGTTGTGAGTGGGTGAGTTGTGGGTGTGGATGAGGAGGGCTTAGGAGAAGATGAGGTCCCTGTGATATAGTCAGCGGGCGCGGGGTGAAAGTGTCTTGCTATCGAGTTTGACATAGAGAGTGAACATGCTGATGTTTGCAGTGTGCGCGGATGTTGTTGGTGATGGAATGGTCGAGTCGTAGCGGGAAGAAAATGGGAGGGGTGAAAGTATAGCTTGCGTGGATGTAGACGACACTGCTATCATTCGAAGGTTTAGGAGCGTATGAACAGGTCAGATTAGTAGGTGCCTATTTGGTCTCGCCATCTTCCACCTCTCTCAAACACCCTGTAAGTCCAATCACCACAGCATCAAAACACCTCAAACATAAAACCCAAATGGTGAAGAAGTCTTTTATTCACTCTCCATCCTCCTTTACTATATCTCCATATGTAACTAAAAAAGGGTATATACATTGTTAGTGTGGTAAGTAATGTAAAAAACGGACCAGCCTTTATAATTCTCGCGCTTTTTGCAACCAACCTCAATCGGCTATGTACTGTTTCGCTGTGTGTGTGTTTGTTGTTCTTCGTGTTGCGTCGTGATGAGGCGTTTAGCTGAAGAACTTGAGGGCGCGCCTGAACCTGTTGCCACCGCGGTTGCCCTGGCCGCCGAAGCCTCCCTGGCCCTGGCCCTGGTTTTGGCGACCGTTGCCCTGACCCTGACCTTGACCGTTCTGACCTTGGCCCTGGTTCTGCTGGCCCTGACCCTGGTTCTGTCCTTGACCCTGACCCTGCTGGCCCTGGCCTTGGCCTTGGTTGCCGTTGTTCTGGTTACCGCCGTTGTTGCCACCGTTGTTACCGTTGCCAGCGTTGGGGGCTTGGGTTGCATCAGGGATAAGAGCTGAGAGAAACGTTAGCATGAACTCCATGAAGGTAAAGACGAGACGGATGAAAAAGCAACGCACCGGAAATGGCACTGGCACCCTCGTTGCCACCCGCAGCACCAGCAGCCTGGTTCGCCGCGATAGCAGCAGGAAGATCCTTCTTGTTTTGTAGAATCTGTGCAGAGATACCCTCAAGTGTCTGAGCAGTGTCGACAGCTAGCGGCAGTGAGTATGGATACAGGATGGGGCAGACGCTTCGCGATGATTATGGAAAATGTGGAACTTACCAGAGGCAGCCTCGTCGGTGCGACCTTGCCCGTCAGTTTGCTGGACGGCGAAGCATCCACCAAAGGGACCGGCGATAGCGTTGTTGCGGCATCGGATAGTGCAGATGTTTCCAGTGGAAGCACCGAGGCAGTTGAAGTTGTCAGGCATCTGGACGTTGATGACAAAGTCCTTCTCCTTGGCCTGGGAGAGGCCGAAAGAACCAGGGATGTTGTTGGACACCTTCAGGGGGGTGAAGGTGGTGACGGCGTTGCTAGTCTCGTCCATGTCGCACTCGAATGGACCGGCGCCATCAGCGTTGACTTGGTGGATGGTGACAGCCAGCATGGAGCCGCCAGAAACCTGGGCCATACGACCAGCAGCAAGCTCGTTCTCGGTCTGCTCGCCGATGTCGATGTTACCAGCGATCTCAGTCCTTCCGCAGGCGTTGACAATGTTCTGCTTGATCTCCGAGTCGCGGATGATGGTAGCATCCTGCTGGCAAGGAGAGATGGTCGTGCAGTTGCGAGCAATAGCAGGGTCAACGAGGAAACCTTGACTCTCACCAGAGTCTCCAACGGCGGCCAAGATAGCTGCGTGCGAGTGCACGGTGGTGAAGAGAGCGGCAAGCGCAACGGAAGAGGCAGCGAAGTACATAGTGATTGGAGTTAAAATAAAGTTGGCGCTCAGCGCTGAGAATAGAATAGAATGTGGAGTAAAGAAGGACTAGCGTCGAGCTGTGAAGAAGTGAAGACCGTTGATGGAGATAGATTACCAGCAGTGGAACGGATGGTAATCTATATACCATCCTCCATGACCAGTCGAACCACCACATCGTGAAATCCCTTACTCGACATCCATGGTGGTGTCCACTTGCATGAGACGTGCTTCGGTATAGGTCAAGGGTTTGGTGTATGGTCGTGCTGGCCTAGGCGCCTGAGTAGAGACTTGGCAATGAAAGAGTGGAGTACGGAATACCGCCAAGTAAGGAATAAGCACCCTGGGTAGACTTCGCAGGAGCTTGTGGTGCCTCCTTGAAGGGAACACCTAGCCTGTCATGGACGTAGAGGCGTTGTGGTGAGGCTGCTCCACAGGCTTCAAACTTCGAGAACCTGGACCAGATCATGCCCTCCGTCACTTAGCGCTCATTGAACCAACAATTCAGCCTCCGTTTTGCCGTAGTACGCTAGCGATGAGGCGTGGGAGGTTTCGACGACCGTAAAGTCAAGTTTCGAATCAGAACGTCGCACGCCACATGCAAACACGACGGCTTGGCACAGTGCCATGCCGTATGTCCGGCTCAATTCCGGAAACTATGCTCGTGCGAAGGAACAGCAGATGGTGAGTGGCGGTCCCATGAATAGCGAAGAGCCTCGGGATGTTGGTGTTTCGAGATCAGGCGCCCGTTAAAGTGGACCTTCCCGTTACATGCCTGTGGGGCCACCCGTTGGAGCAGGAACGCCGCGCTGTCGGCAGATAGGCTCACAGTCTCTCGCGTAGAGTCGCCTGTTGGTCGCTGTCGACAATGCCTAAGCAAAGGGGCTCGATGTCGCGATAGCGCAGACGCAGGAATTGCGCCTGTCATCTCCGCACTCCTGAGGCATCTCTGTCGCGCATCATGCCGGACTTCCGGACTCAACGATGCAGCGAGCAGTGTAGTAAGCGACTGTACTGTGGAGGCGATGATTGTGAGCATTGCTTCTTCTTCGTTGGTGTCGCTGCCATCCTCCCGAAGTGTTGCACCTTCTCTTCAAAGCCAGGTTGGCTGCAGCGATGACACTCCTGCAGGGTTCACACTTTCACCATGCAGCATGCCTACTCTTCCGAGATGGCTTGAAGGCACTGCTGTGACGCTCATCCATCTCGAGATAGTGCATTGTCTGAGGTTATTAGTTTTGGAGTGAGAGCATCCTTTGTGTGTTAAGTCTTGTGGCTTCGGAAGCCCTTTCGTCTGACCAAGTGACAGACTCGATAGAGAAACACTAGAAGGCATAGCTCGTCGCCGCGGATAGCATGTTCCTGCGTGTTCGATAGCAAGAATTATTGACAAATTTCATTGCGGGCCTGCCCAGTCTTTCTTGGAACGACAAGGTGCTCCAAGTATCATGAACAGTAACGCTGTTATTGAGACATGCTGTCAGTAGAAATCAAATGGCGCGTGTCTCGTCATGTCCCGGTTGAAGATAGCGTACACCACGGTGACATCCTAGGGATATTCTGGGCGGAGCCTGCTTCCACCGTGGCAAGCAGTGAAAAGGTGGTGCAACAGAGATGGCTGACTTGTACCAGTCGACCGTTCTTCCCCGCGGCGGCGAGTCCTTGTCTAATCGCCGAACAATCGCCGGCAGCCTTACAACAATCAGACCACTTTCATCATCCATCGCTCAGAAAACTTGCGAGCTGTCGCAAAGCCGCCACAAGCTTCCTCACACACGAATTCCCTTCTCAGACCGATAATACACAACCCATCATGAACACAGTAAGCTTCATATACACTTTCCGCCCCGTCATTAGTACTAACAGTCGAACAGGTCAAATCAGTATAGTACGTCACACCTCTCGCAGACACCCACAAGTCCACCCACCCCATACATGCCGCACCCCAACACCATCCCACCAAAAGCTCCAATGAGCCCACCCTAACACTTCCCACAGCTACGGCTGGGCAACCCTAATAGTCGCAGGCGGCGGCGCCTACTTCTTCGCCAAACGCAGCATAAACGCAGACCGCGCCGCAAAAGCCGAAGCCGACCGCCAAAAACGCATCCGCCTCTACGAACTCGAGCACGGCTTACAAAACTCCGCTCCTACCACCACACCGCTGAACCCGACCGCGAAACCAGGATCCACACAGGCGGCGCCGCAGAGCGTGACGAGCGAGGTGGGCAGGCTGAGAGCGGAGGGAGGAGGGAATGGGGGTATGGGCGGCGAGGGCAACCCCAGTATGCAGGCGAGTCAGGATCCGGCGCCGACGAGACATGCGCCTGAGAGTGAGGGGCAGAGGGTGGGCGAGAAGAGCAAGTATGAGGCTCCGGAGGTGTATCGGAGTCGGAAGGGGGATCGGTTCTCATGAGTTAGGATAAGAGGGTTGACGATGCAACGGACGGATGAATCACACATTAGAGTGAGTTCACGTAGATACGAGGCATCAATGGCGTTATGGCATGGAAGATTCCACTCTTTGTATTATCGTACACCAGCAGGTTGGCGACTCCAATGCCCCAGCTCCAAGCTATGCTAAATTAAATGAATCACCCAAAACGCCCACGCGATATATCAGGGTATAAAGCGATGTGTTGCCGTCCCACGTCACTGTACATCATACGCTATGAGAATTTACTGCGCAAACATGCCGCTCCTGCTGTCTCTCCGCTTCTCGTACAGCCATTTGCTGTTCAGTCCGACACTCGCTTTGCCAGTAGAGGGCGTAGGGGTGCCCGGTGCCGTCATGCTGCTTGAGCTGTCACCGAACAAGCTACTGCTCATCGAACTGCCACCATAGCTCAACCGCTTCGTCGCAGAAGACCCGCTCATTGATCTCTGGAAGTTTCCTCCATTGTTTGGTGAAAACGGTGAGCCCGAGCCAGACCTTCCGAAGTTTGGCGACCCGGAGCCGAATTCTTGATTGCTGAAGCTGTTACTGCGCGGCGTTGATCGCTGGTATCGGGGAGGCGTGACATAGTTCGGCGATGCGAAGGCAGAGCCTGGCGATTGGGGCGCCTGGACGCCAGCTTTCAGGCCCATGGAGGCGCGCTGTGAGGGCGTGAGAGGTATGTCGGCAATCTCATCGGGGTAGTAGCGACGGATGAGAGGGAGGAACGCGATGACGATATTGGCGGCGAATACGATGCGGACGAGAAGGACGGCCCATGCGCTGTAGGGAACAGCTTTTACGACAGCGTTGATCGGTGTTCTGGTGCATATTAGCATGATCCACGATGACATTTCGTGAGGAACATACGCAGCGTATTCCAGTAGCTTCACCTTCTCAGTGACTCTAGTACCATATACTGAGAGAAACAGGAAGCCTGCATTCAGGACGATGGCCCTGACGTTGCGCTCATCAAACGTGGTAGCGTACTGGCGGCGCGCAATCTCGTCAAACTTGGGATGTCGCCAGGAGCCATTGGGAGTGTATGGCTGTTCTGTCTGGGCAGATGGTGTCGCGGCCTTTTGCGGAGTCGCAGGCTGCGCGTATCGGGCTACCGACATGTTGTGTGAAGCTTTTAGCTACTCGCGTTGATTGTTTGTTTGGCCGAAAGGGAGTCGCAAGAGATGGGCTGGCTCGCGTGTCGGACTACACTTTCACTGATGCTGCTGGGTTAGTAGTTAGTCTCGGATAGCGTCGCGCGGCTACAGGCACATTCTGTCTGCCACAGGGTGCCGCGATGGTGAAGGTCAGAGTGGTTGTACAGCAACCATGTTTTGGCAAGGGCGATCGGAGGACGGACATGCGAGCCGACAGGGGTCCCTTCACTAGCGGACCAATTCACCCCCGCCGTCATCCCGCAGCTGTCAGCCAAACCTCCAACTTCACTTCACTCATGCGACTACAGCTATGGCGGGAACTCTAGAGCAGCTTGATCAGACCATCGGGGAGGTACTCGCCGGCTGGAACTTCGTCAGCACCCTCATCGCCTTCACCATCGTCGGCTTCCTGGCCTGGATCATCTATGACAGCGCCGATGCCGACACACACCCGCTGCTGCTCGCCAGACAGGCGGTAGCTTCGTATGTCAGGCAGCCGGGAGAGTCTGCTGTCTTCCGCTCCCCCGAAACTCCTCATGGCTGTACGAGCACCCCACCATATGTTTGCAGACGATCTAGCTAACATGCAGCAGATCCTCTCCGTACCGGTCTTGCCGTAAGACCTCCGGGCGCTCCCATGTACTCGGCCGGCAAAGATGGAGATCTTCGCGATATCTGGCGACGTGTCACAGGCGAGATCCCTCTCGAGAAGGGCGCAAAGTCTAGCGGCACTGCAAACATCATGACCGTCTTTGGAAAGGAAGGCGTCACCGAACACAAAGTTGAAGACGTTACTAAGGAGATTGCGATCCTCGGAAAGCATCTACAGGATCGCGGTGCTAAGAGAGTGGCCATCTACCTCCCCAACAGTCTCGAGTTCCTCTCTGCACTCTTTGCGGGTGCCTTCTTCGACTTTACGCCTATCTTGATCCCATACAACCAACCACACGAGACCCTTGCCGAACTCCTCCTCCAAACGAAAGCCGATGCCCTCATCGCTGAGGCTGGCTCTGTGCCTCTTGCCGAACTCAGTCAAGGCGTGTCCGGCCTGCGCTCCATCGTCTGGACTGTAGAGAAGACAAGCAGGCACATGGACTGGAGCGAGGTACCCGAAGGCATCGGTGGAAAGATCGATGTTGCTGTTTGGCACGAGCTTGTACAGGAACAGAAGAATGCCACTATACCACTGCCGTCGAATCCCGGCAAGCCTCGGAACGTTGTCTTCCTCTGGCAAGAAGCCGTTGGAAAGCCGGCAGAGGTTGTCGAATTCACGCAACAGGTACGTAAACCTACCATGTTGACATATGCACGTACTGATGGGAACAGAATCTGACTGCCGCCGTTGGTGCACTTGTCACGTCCCTCCCTGCCGCCCACCGTCTTAATGCCTCGGATACGTTCCTTCCCGCAGACGCCTTTACACATTCCTACTGTCTGTGCCTGACGCTGGTTGCTCTGTTTTCTCACGCGACGGTTGTCATCCAGTCCGTTGCCGGTCCGGGTGTCGATCTGGAACTGGCAACACGCTCCATCGCTCCTACGGTCACAGTGGTCTCAGCTGAAACAGCTGCGAAGCTTCACAACACCACCAAGACATCCGTAACGGGTGGCCCCCAGAAGTTGGCTCATTACCTCGAGACGCGCATGTTGACTGCTGGCCGCCTGCCTACCGACAATCTCCTCACAAAGCTCAATGCGCCCAAGAGGGCGGCTGTCGGCACAACACCTGGAAAGCTGCGCTTGGTCTTTGTGTCTGAACGACAAGGCCTGAACACACCACCACTTAGCTCAGAGGACCTCTCCGATCTACGCATCTTCACCAAGGCGCGTGTCGTATACGCTTTGACCACAGCCAAGGTAGCGGGAGCCGTTGCGCAAACCAACATCTACGATTACCGGAGGGAGACAGCATCGAACAAGCACAGCCACTTCGGTGTGCCCCTCAGCTGCGTGGAGATCAAGTTGAAAGATACACCACATCTCAAGACAACAGACGAGCAGACCGCAGGCGAGCTAGTCGTCACTGGCTCATCGGTTGTGGGTGGTGAGGTCCACCTAGGCGTGAATGCGACCATCCGAGAGGACCATACTTTGGCGTATGTGTAGCTAGCGCATTGAGCAAAACGCGATGAACTTGAACGTACTTGCCTTCACGAAGCTTCTTCCAAATGACCCCCATTCAATCTGCCGCTCGAGGCTCTTGACATGTGTTCAGCTCAATGACACTTCTCGTATGCACGAGATTACGCGACTGACCCATGAATCCAGGCCAGCTTGTGCAGTAGTCGGCAGCGACGTGCATGCGCCCCAAGTACCGAGACACACTGGTTTTCCCCTCCTCCAAAAAGCTCGTCAAACGCTTGCACCCTTAGTAGGTACTACGATACACTATATCACTCTCTTCGTATTGATTAGAGCCGTCACATATATGTGTATCTGTGGAGGAGACATCGTACCTATCGCGTCGCGTGGGGATCACCCTCTCTGGGGTAATTTCAGCCGAAGCGCTACCGAGCGGCGCCTTCGCTAAGACCGAACCGACTGGGGTGCTTATCTGCACCTGCACCACCGTCGAATGACAGCCGGCCCCATCTAGCAACGGTCGCATTTCCCAAGGACCGAGACCTTGGGTACAGCCGCTAACCATCATGACAAGCTGTGTGAGTGGCTGTTTGTCGAGCAAAAGGCTGCGAGGAAAGGCTCAAGGCGTTCGTCTAGTCCAGCTGAGTCTCGATCCATGTCTCTAGACGAAGTGTTGACATGGTCGGCTCGTGGCGCTTATCTTATCGTCGCCTTGCCAGAGATATAGACGTAACGTCAATCCTGGGCGCCCGCTGTTCGGAGATCTGCACTGAGACTGTGCGTGCTGCTAGAGGATAAGAAGGCGCCTGTGTCCGTCGCGCGGAAAGACCCTCAAGGATAAAAGGTCCTCCCATCTTTACAGCCCTTCCACGTTCTTGGTGGCTGGCACGGTAGGCTTCAGGATGCCGTTGATCGAGAAGCCGCATTGGACGCTCAGGGTTGAGCAACCCAAGAGCACGTTTGCGGAAGGCAATGCGCGATGGTAGGTCCGAATTGGAAACGGAGATGCGCGATGATGGATTTTTCGTACTGACTGATGGTATATAGGACGAACAAAGATCTTGACCCTGTTCCGAGGCATGGCAGGAAGTGGGGTGTAACGAGCTTCATCTCGTATTGGGTGTCGGATGCATTCAAGTATGTTCTCTCCATCTTTATCAAACTTCAACAAATGTGAGATGCTAACAGTACTCCAGCGCCGCAACATGGCAATTCGCATCGAGTATCATCGCAATCGGTACATCCACCACTTTCCCACCAAATACAATCTGGATAAACTAACACCACCACAAGGCCTCACATGGCGCGAATCCCTCGGCATAGTCGCCCTGGCCTTCTTCATAATCTCCTTCGTCATCGCCCTAAACGGCGCAATCGGCGTCCTCCACCACGTCCCCTTCCCCGTCATCGCCCGCGCCTCCTGGGGTTTCTGGGGCTCCTACATCGCCATCGTCTCGCGCGCCATCCTCGCCATCTTCTGGTTCGCCATCCAAAACATGAACGGCGCGAATTCCGTACGCGTCATGATCGGCGCCATCTGGCCCTCTTTCCTCACACTCGAGAACGGTATCCCTGAGAGCCAAGGCATCGATACAGCGACCATGATCAGTTTCTTCATCTTCTGGCTCGGTAGTGTACCGTTTCTGGTTATGCATCCTAATGAGTTGAGGTGGCTATTTATGGCTAAGAGTATCATTGTGCCGATTGCGTGGATTGCGATTTTGATCTGGGCGTTTGTGAGCACGGATGGGGGAGGTGAGATGTGGAATCAGAAGGCTACGTTGACGGGAAGTGCTTATTCGTGGGGTTTCTTGTCGAGTTTGACGAGTGTTATTGGGAATTATGCTACCTTGTCTGTGAATCAGGTAAGTTCTCTCAGCCCTCCATGGATCCCATTGCGAATTCCGTCTAGAGATCTGAACACATACTAATCGCGACCACAGTCCGACTTCTCCCGCTACTCCCGCGTCTCCGTAAAATGGCAATGCATCTACGTGCCCTTCCTCCCCATAGTCTTCACCTTCATCGCCTTCATCGGCGTAGCCGCCACGTCCGCCGGCGCCGTCAAATACGGCACTCTAGACTGGGACCCCATGGCCCTCATCGCCCACTGGGACAACCGCGCCGCCCGTTTCTTCGCCGCCTTCTCCTTCGCCCTCGCCGCCCTCGGCGTCAACATCTCTGCCAACTCGCTCTCCGCTGCCAACGACCTAACCGCCCTCTTCCCGCGCTATGTCAACATCCGCCGCGGCCAGCTTCTCTGCGCGGTGCTCTGCTGGGCGCTTGTCCCCTGGAAGATTCTCGCGTCCGCCGGTAGCTTTCTCAACTTTATGGCTGCGTATGCGATTTTCCTGGGTCCGATCGCGGCGATTATGGTGGTGGACTTTTGGGTTGTGCATCGTGGGAAGTATGATACTTTGGCGCTGTACCAATATCATGGTATCTACAAGTACACCGCCGGTTGCAACTGGCGCGCTATTGTCGCTTTTCTCGTTGGCGTTGCTCCGAATATGCCGGGGTTCATCCAATCTATCAATCCGGCTATTGATGCGGGTGTGGGTGCTAGGCCGTATAGCTTCGGTTGGCTACTAGGGTTTACGGCGACGGCACTGGTGTATGGGCTGTTGGAGATGGTTGTTGCGCCGCCGAAGGAGACGTTTATCGATAGGGCGGTGTATCCGGATGAGATTTACGATGAGGCGGGTGTGGTGGATGAGGGGATTAGTGTGGGGAGTGGAGAGCAAGGAAGTGCGGAGAAGACGGGGTGGAAGGCGAAGATGACGAGGATGTTGTAGATGGTAGCATGAGTTCTTGAAGATCCAGTCTTGGGGAGATTACGTCTGGTTTGCCGAAGATATATATAAGAGTTGTGAGATACATACTATCGGTCTTCAACACGTCCCTTTTCCAAGCAGATGCAAAGTCAGCTTACTTCGACATGTAAATGGTATTCAATTGATTATGATGAGGATATGCAAAGGGAAAGAGCGTTACTTCGTCTACGAGATTACACTGATATGACCATATATGCCACAGCGTAAAATGAGTTTCCATCCAAGAGATTCAGGACACAAACATCTCAAACCCACCTCCCCCATCATCTCACAACCCCAAAACAACACCCACCCCCAACCCCACAATCGCAACCAAACTCCCCATCCCCACCGTAACCCTCCCCATTGCTCCACTCCCCGCATCCCCATCCCCATTCCCACCATCACTTACAACCGCACTCGCAGCATTAACCTGCAACCCATACGCCGTCGTCGTAACCGGCGTCCCACTGACCGTAGTCGTAACAACGCTCGTCGCCGTCGTACTAGCCTCGCACCCACTCCAGCTGGTCCAGGGCGCAGAACTACTCCAGGGCCCTGCTGTCCAGCCGGGCCAGTCGGATGGCGGACACGCGCTGCCGTCCCACCATGCGGTCCAGGGGCCTGATCGCCAGTCTGAGCGTGTGGACCAGTCGCTGTAGGGGCCGAAGTTGGAGGCGCCCCAGGGGCCGGGACCGTCTGGGCCTAGGGGAGGGAGTTAGTAGGGGTTTGGGTTGGGTTGGGAAGGGAGGGGGTATAAGGGGGTGTTGGGATGTTAGCTATCTTACCTCCCCAGTGTCTTCCCGGCCCTCCTGGGCCATGTGGTCCACCTGGTCCCCAAGGTCCTTGTCCCGGTCCGTAACTACCAGTTGGCCAGGGTGCGGCTGTTAGAGTCGATGGGATCTTCCCGGCTGAGAGGAGAGATTCATAGATTGAAGACCATTTCCCTGGGTCGGAGGATGCCCATGGTGGACCGGAGCCATACCACGGATCCGTTGATGTAGGGGCTGGTGTGATGCTCTGGCCGAGAATGGGCGCGATGAGCGCTGTGATGGTTGTGAAGGTGAACTTCATGGTGGTAGGTAGTATTGGCGTCGTGGTATTCGTGTCTGTGTCTGGAGAAACGTTTGTTGTTATGCCGCGTAGACGTAATAACAAGCAGTATGCAGTGACTGACTCCGTGCAACGATACCCAGCCCTGTCAATTTTGTGTCGTTAACTCCAGAAAAAAAAACGTTTCCCACCCGCGAACACCGCAGCATACAAATACCCTTAGACACGACATACGCGGCCCACTCGTTCATTGGACGCCATCATAGCTTACCTACTACTCCGTCATAGAAACGCGTCCGGAGGGGGCCCGCGAGGCTCAGCTGAGCGTTAGTCCACCTACGCTGGATAGTAAAGAAGCGCAGGATCAGAGATGACAAGCAACAACGCTTACAAGCTTACGCGTCCGCAAGCCTATACACGTACTGTCTCGGCAGCCCTTCCATATTTCCCGAGAAAGCGTCATTGGCATGGTGGTGATGCAGGGTCAGGCTTTCAGCCTTGTGGCATGCCGTAGCGGAGCGTGGTGGAGCGTAGTGGAGTTCGCAAACAGGCGATCAAAGCTTGACGATGAACTTGCATTGGTCGAACATGGACAGGGCAATAGTTGATTGGATAGATGGTGTATATCGAAAAATGGGCTTGTGGCTATAAACAGAAAGGGCGGCGTGAGATGTGCTGCAGCGTGCTTTTTCGGAGAATGGAGGTGGGGAGAAAACGCGGAGAAACGTGCTGTGGTATCACCGCGCATGCATATGTCGGTTGTTGGAATTGCGTGCGTCTATCGCGTTGTCAAAGGGACGGGCTGGGAGTAGGATTGCTCAAAGCGATCAGGGAGCTGCAGCCATAGTGTTCGTTGCGCATTCAGTTTGGCAATGAATTGTCGCAAGTTGAGGTTGAGTCGAGAACTATACCCAAACGTATGATGCAGAGACCCCACTGTCGATCATCGGCGCAGACGGAGGCGCAAGCACCGACGAGACGCTCACTCTGACACCACCATCGCTACTCGATTACGCTCGAGTATGAGTTGTGTGCAACGGTGTACGCATCCTTTTGACATTACAATTGAGTAATACACTGTCTCGTGACGCTGACCAACCTTTAGAGCTGCAAGACTGTCGTGCATGTTACCCGTGAACCACTGTCTCGTAACGATCA